TGAAGTACAGTACTTACCAGCTCTGTAATCTCTTTGTACAGTGGGCGTGCACCAGATGAAAAGATAGGTCCTCAAGACAAGACGAGACTCCATTCTGATCACAGAAGGAAACAATGACACAAGGAAGAGCAGCAGAGAGCCTTCTGTAAATTGTGAGTATGCTGAAGTGCAGAGTTAGTTGTGATTATTGTAGGGGTGTGCGATATGGACAAAAAATAATATCTCGATATTTTGGGGGATTTTGACGATAACGATAATAAGACGATATTCTTTTAAATATGTGTTTTTATCATGGATGATATTAATGGACACAATGTTTTAAAGGAAAAATGTTCTTAACATTTCTTGCTGCTTTTTACCTGCTCGCTCTGTCTGACTCTGGTGACGGCCTTTTGTAGCGTCAATTCCGGGTCCATTTGCAACTGTTCAGATAGGCGTTTGTCCCGCAGACTCACCACAAGCCTGTCCTTCACCATCTCATCATGTAGAGCACCGTAACCGCAGTGCTCCACCAGGCAGTGCAGTGCCGTAATCAAACTGTCAGCCGTCTCGCCCGTTTCTTGATGCCGCTGATTAAACTTTGCTCTCTCAAAGATCACATTCCTGCGATTCTCTTCTGCTCGCGTCTCCAATCCAGAAGCAATTTGGAATCTGTCGAAGCGTTTAATTCATTTAGGCCAGTCTTCAGCCTTGAAGGTGAACTTTTCCGGCGGGGAGTCTTGAAACTGTGCCATGTTGCCGCTTCGTTTAGCTAACTGTGGCTAGGCTAGGTAGCTCCGTAGATGGTCTTCCGGTACTGCGAACTTTCCCGACCTACAACTAGACACTTTTGCGTGTCGCTATATGCAGACTAAGTCACTAGTACTGTCGCTCGCGTCTGACTTTACTTCTGACACCATGTTCAGTTATTTATTGCTATAACCGCAAACCACTCATGAACCACGCAAGCTTCAGGTACTTGAGCAACCCTTTAATTGTTCCCCTGCAACACAATACAGCATGAGTTCCCACCTTTCAGGCTGGGACCTATCACTACAGTTGACCCACGTCTTCCGAAGCTGCTGGAGCATCCGTGGGCGGTGTTGTCATGTTGTCTCGCTAATGTTTGTTTAGCAGCAGGCTAACTTGCTGGGAAGGTGCCAGTGAGAGATCATGTGACCACCTAGGCGTACTGCAGCGTGCTGCTGCACGCAAGTTACGTAACTCTTGTTCAGTGGATGTATGGGCTTTCAGCCTGGTTTAAAGTGTGTTTTCAGTTGTTTTTGTGAAGTCATTTGCATACTCGATAATGTAAATTTGCACATCGTTAAAACAACAATGACGATATTATCGTTAACGATATATATCGCCCACCCCTAGATTATTGTCATTTCTGTTCTTTAAAAATGAGTAAACAACTGAACTAAATGTAATTTCATTGTAGTGGGGGGTCATTTTACCAAGCCCTTAAGGCATACAGTATGTGGTGGATATAGAGAACATTAAATGTTACACAACTTTCAGGTGGTATTTAACACAAATAATCCAAGAAACTCTATTTGTCATGTTAAAATGATAACCAAACAGTTCAAAGCATCCATTTTTCATTTCACTCAGCCAAAAGCTGAAGTGGTCAACAGCCGAATCAACAAAAACATTATAAATTCATAACTGTATAAGTATTTTGTTTCATTTTATCATTCTTTTCTTTTGTTTTATGTGTGTGTAGCATGAAGGGGCTGCACCTTACACTTGATTGTGCAACCCTTGTTTAAAAAATGACAAATACAATGAACCTTGAACCTTTACAGCAGTGAAAGATGATAAATGGCAAGAGCAAAGTTCTCACTGTCCTAGAATTACAAGATAGTTTGGATCCTATATATGTATTCCTGTGAGGAAACAATCATATATATACCTCATGTGTAACTGTATAATGCTATCCAAACATAATTTTTGTGTGTTTGAAGTATAAGATGATTTGCATCTGAGACTACTGCTGCCAACAGAGGACCAATTCTGCCAAGTGCTTTCTGACAGCTGTCTTTTTTTTAATTGCAGAAAACTGTATTCATCCACATGTGAAGTTGGTCTTCACAATGGACCTCTGTGAGGAAGATGAAGTGGAAGTCTACACGGGCCACCAGAAACAAAGGCTAGAGTCTTCTACCTGTCTGTCTGCAGAGGATGACAGGTCTGTGGAGCCTTGTTCAATGTTTAATTAACAGCCTCAACACTGTGTGTTTTATCATCTTTGGGGATTATTTAAAAGATGCCTAAAAAAAACTGACACAGCCAGACTTTAGACAGTGTGACATTTTAAACAGAGCTCATCCAGTTTCACATAAGGCAACAACTAGTCAATGACTGTGTTTACAAGGTCTTTAGTATCCCTGTTTTGAGGCTTATCCCGGCTTTGAGCATATCCGGGATATGATGTTTACATGGAACACAGAGAAAACCGGTTATTCATATCCCTGTATACACGATAAATACCAGTAACCCGTTTTCTGATCACTGCATCCCATCTGCGCAGGCGTGTGTTACGTCTTTTACATCTTTTGTTTACAACAGATTGAGCGGGAAACGTGATATATTTATTATATTTAGAAGTAAGACAAAAATGAGATCTCTGTGGCTTCTAGCGGGCTTAGCGTTAGTAAATACTCACGTCGCATTACAGCTATGGCTCATCCACTTCATCTTCAGCAATGGGAGGAGAGAACGACCACAAATATTGCATTTCTGTGTCTTCTGCCGTCTAAACACATAGTTATGTTGAGTTCTTTCATCATTTTCAGGCAAAATTCAGTCTCTTCGTCGCTCCAAAAATGGGAAGCTCTCGTTGCCGCCATGTTGTCTGTATATCTGGTGTGTCACTCTGGCACCTGCGCACACGGCGGGCAGCCATCAGAGACTGGGATAAGGTGTATACATGCTCCAGTATCCCGGCTGCTATCGGAGTACTCCAGGTGGCAAAGCCAGGTTTCTTGAAACCGGGAAAAGGGCATAACCCGGTTTCTGAATTCAGGATATGGTGTTTACATGCACAAACACAAAAACGGGATACTTAAAAAACCCAATCAAAACCAGGATACTAAAGACCTTGTAAACACACTCACTATGATGAATTCAGTCCTGGTCCAGCACACACTACAGGTCAACTGCTGTTTGACCGCTGAGCTTATTCAAAAATCATAGATTTAAATTCTTTTCTTTTAAACAAGGCTCGTTATCCGATCTCAAGAAAATCTAAAATAAATTAGACAAAAATAAACAAAATACTTCAGTCTGTCTCGATGAATGTTTAGAAATCTTTAGTGCTGTGTGCAGTCAAGGAGCTCAAATCAAGGTAGCTTGAACTCCAAGCTAACCAGACATGCCCATTTCTGGTTGTTTTCCTCATATCTTCTTCAATGTTTACACTCAAAACAGTTGTTTTTTAGGAAAATCAAAAAGCTCTTGTTTACTAAAAACTTGGCAGACTTAATTATAGGACAGATCTGAATGGATAATGTTTCACTTACATGTTAAATCTGGTGAAGATTGATCTGCACTTCAATTTGTGTGTGAGCAGTGTTGCTCAAGATACTTTTCAGTTCAACCAAACTGAATTTACTTCAAAGGCTCCATACAATCAAAGGTGCTTTTAAATAACTCTAAACGCTCACACTTCTGTACTCAACACATAAAAAAAACGAAACACTGAGACCAGTCTCTGTGCCAGTCTAATACAACTTGTTGAACCTGTCTGTTCACTGTACACAAAGAAACTCTCCAACTCTCAGCATACATCCTTACACAACTTTTCACTGAAAAAATAATTACATTAGTGTTGGTGTTAGACTGTAGAGAACAAGAAAGTGCATGAATCCAGAGAGTGCAGGTGTTATACTGTAGAGATGAGAAAGTGCCGGTACTAAGCCACTGTTAGATTGTAAAGAATGAAAGTTACCATGAAGGAAATGAGAGTGTCTCGATGTGTTACACTGCAGGACTCCAGAGAGTTCTGGTGTTACAGGGTAGGACTCCAGAAAGTGTCAGTGTCACACTGTAGGGAACCTGAGAGTGTCAGTGTTAGACAGTAGGAATCAGAGAGTGCCGCCACATGTAGCTTACAATGAGTGGAAACACATATTCCAAAATATACAGTAAATGTCTCCACTTTGGTTTCTGATTTTTTTTCAAAGAACAACACAGGACAGGTGATTTCCAGAGCAGATTTGTTGTTGAAGCAGACCAATTATGCAATTTAATTCAAGTTTGACTTTGCTAGATTTGATGTTGATGTCATTTGATCTAATTCTTTTATCATTTACTGTTATGAGAAATGGGGAACCACCCAGTGCAGCCAGTTTTCTTTTGTTGAACTTTGAACTCTGTGACGACTGCAGACGAGAGTTGAAGGACCAGCGTCCTAATTCTCCAACAGCCAGCTGTGTGTGTGTGAAGACTGACAGGTCCAGAGATGAGCCTCCATATTTAAGCAACAAGCCACTACCAGTGGACTCAGCTGACTCCAAGTAAGCTGACAAATGATCATAATGATGACACTAGGAAATCATTTTTACTTAGGGTTGAAGCGATGAGATAATGACATTATTTTTATTGTGCCACACAACACTCCATCTCACATGGGCTAACTAAACACCCTTAAAGTGCAAAAAGTACAATCTGGGGAACTGCAGTGCCTGCTCAGTATACTGTACTAGTTCTGGTAGCTACTATAGTGACATGAGCAATTCTTCTGGATTTTTTCATTTACAGGCCCAAAAGTCAAAAACAGAGGCCACTGTCTCCAACACCTAGCTGTCTGTCCATGAGGAGTGACGAGTCCAAGGGACTCTTGTCTTCAAGAAGGAGCAAAGTGGCTCTGATTCAAAGTAAGTTTGAATACTGATATAAAATTGATCAAATATGATTTTGTTAATGTTATGATAAAAGATATTAGAATTTGGGCACAAAAACATTTTGCTGATTTACTCCAGAGTCAGCTCTATCAGAGCCAGAGACCTGACTCCCCAACACTGAGCCATCTGTCTATAAGTGACCAGTCCATGGGAATCCCTCTTGCTTTCAACAGTGAGACAATTCCAGCTGTCCATGTACAACAACCACTCAGTCAAGCTTTTAGAAAAGACTCTGAAAATGGTAAGACCAGAATCCATAAAGCATGAAGTTTTAAATTCTGCAGAATATTTATTATTTGTAGCCAAAAACTACATCATTTCAATGTTACCAATGTGAGTTAGGACACAGCAAGCTTGCAGTCGTGGAAGTTCGACTGAACTATAACTTCTTGTCAAGATGTATGCTGATGTATTTCTGAAAACATATATGTATATATATTTATATATATACACAGTTTTCAGTAAACAAGACTTTATCACCAGAGAAGATCATCATGCTCATTTTCCTTCCACACTAGTCACTTAAAACACAAAAGATAGCAGTAGTTATTGGACCAAGGTGCTTTGACAAAGCAAGACGTGACGGACAACTTGATTTTACTGCTCTCTGGTAGTCCGCCACTGTTGTTGCAAGAATTGGCATGTCTGAAATGAGGTGATGACATCATCATTTTCAATAAACTATCCATATGGATACACAGAAACTGGAGTTTTGAAGAATCTGCACCTTAGTTGGCGTTTTCAAAAATCTGCCTATGTGACCTAAAACTTGCATGGATGTGAGGCAAAAATGTTGAGGGAAAGAGTAGTTGTCAAAAATATCCGTAGACATGTGGACAAGACTTGAATGCTTCCTCCTGTAGTGCTTTTATTTTTGTAAAGACATAACATTGCTTCCTTCACTTCGCTTGTGACTGTAATTCTACTTTTTCTTTTTGATGCGTTTTTCAGTGACTGACGATGTGCAGGAGGCTTTAAACAAACATCGGATCAATCTTAAAAAGAAGTTTGAATATGTCATGGAAGGAAGTGCTGAAGAAAAAAGTGGAATCCATCTGAGCACCATTTACACAGAGCTCTACATCACAGAGGGGGAGTGTGAGGGGATTAATACTCAACATGAGGTGTGGCAGCTTGAAACAGTATTCACCCTAAAAACCTTCTGTGGCACAGCAATCAACTGCAATGACATCTTTAAGCCCTCAACTGGACAAAACGAATGTCTAAAGGTCTTGACCAAAGGCATCGCTGGCAGTGGAAAAACAGTTTGTGCACAGAAAGTCATCCTCGACTGGGTAGAAGGGAAAGCAAACCATACAGTGAAGATCTTGTTTGCGCTTCCATTTCGTGAGTTGAACTTGATCAAAGGTGCAAAGTACAGCCTGCTGGGCCTGCTAAGCCTTTTCCATCCATCACTAGAAAAACTCACAGTGGAGATGCTTACTATGTGGAAAGTTGCATTCATCCTGGATGGCCTTGATGAAAGCAGACTTACTCTGAATTTCAAATGCAATGAGCATGTGTCCAATGTCACACAAATATCCACAGTAGATAAACTGCTGACAAGCCTGATCAAAGGGAAACTGCTGCCCTCTGCTCTACTCTGGATAACCTGCAGACCTGCAGCAGCCAGTCTGATCCCTCCTCAGTATATCCACAGGGTGACAGAGGTACGAGGCTTTACTGACCCTCAGAAGGAGGACTACTTCAAGAAAAGATTTTGTGATGACGAGCAAGCTGGAAAAATCATCTCACACATCAGGGCACTGAAGAGCCTCCAGATCATGTGCCACATCCCAGTTTTCTGCTGGATGATTGCCACAGTGTTTGAGTACATGCAGAGTACAAATACAGGAGAGCTACCCAAGACCCTGACTGAGATGTACGCACACTTCCTGATGGTTCAAACACAGAGGAAGAATAATAAATATGGGAAAGCTGAGATGAATCAACGGGAGCTGATAAAGACCGACAAGGAAGTTCTTCTGAAGCTGGGGAGGCTAGCCTTTGAACATCTGGAGAAAGGTAACCTCATGTTCTACAAAGAAGACCTTGAGGAGTGTGGGCTTTATGTGAATGATGCTGCATTGTACTCCGGAGTGTGCACAGCTATCTTTAAAGAAGAGTGTGTACTCTTCAAGAAGATGGTCTACTGCTTTGTCCATCTAAGCATTCAGGAGTTTCTTGCTGCTGTCTATGCTTACCACTGTTACGCAACTCAGAACATAAATGCCATGAAGAGTTTCCTCAAACGAGATTCCACTCCCCCTGTACCATCAGAACTTATTGCAAATAAGTTATTCAAGAGAGCCATGCCAGAAATATCACACACTGAAAGCACAGGCAGTCTGTCTTTACATGAGCTTTTGGAGGGAGCTTTGGAAAAGGCCTTGGAGAGCAGGAACGGTCATCTCGATCTATTTGTCCGCTTTCTTCATGGACTCACAATCGAGTCTAATCAGCGTGCTTTAGGAGGCCTGATTGTCCAAAAGTCAAGACCAGAATCCATTAAAAAACACATCCGCACACTAAAAATGGTTCAAAGGAAGGCAGCCTCAACAGAGAGATGTATCAACCTTTTCCACTGCTTGACAGAAATGAACGACCACTCAGTAGACCAGGAAATTCAAGAGCTCCTGGAGTCTGAGAACAGATCAAAGCAGAAACTCTCCGCAGTTCAGTGCTCTACTCTGGCCTACAAACTGCTGATGTCAGAGAAAGTACTGGATAAGTTTGACCTCAGGACTTTCAACACTTTGGATGAAGGGCGTAGGAGACTGGTACCAGTGGTGAGAAACTGCACAAATGCTCAGTAAGTGTTTTACTGTTATTAAGACTTCACATTCACTTAAATCAGAGTTAAGCATGTAACAGTACACAGAGGTCATGGCTCCATGTAGGTTCTGTACAATGGGGAAAAAAATGTATATGGATCCGTTTGTTTTCATTTATTTAGAACAGACAGTAGTGTAAGTGTCAAAACCAGACAGAGTCGTCCTGCTGGGGACTGAGGTAACATTTTGCCCTCTGGCAACTTTGGTGAAGTATACTCATGATAAAAATGAGAAACATTTAAAGAGGTAACAGATAGGATTTGTTTTGTTTTGTTTTTTTAGCTTGGCACCACCTAGCGTCAGTGGTGTTGCATTGCACTGTCGCAACGACCAAATTGACCATGGGGATCAGAGATAATCAATAATAAATGACTCTATTAGACTCTCTAAATTAAATAAAATGTAGGCTGTAAAGTCATCAGTATACCTCTGTGTATATGTAGAATGAGAAGGTGTGTGGACAAATAAATGAGTAAAGAGACCGAGCAACAATTATCAGATTTATCTGAAGAAAAAACAAATAGTAATGCAAATAATTATACCAGAATGCACAGTACCAAACAAATCAAACATATAAACAGGTACATACCTGTTTATATGTTTGATTTGTTTGACCGTACAAACACAGCCTCTGTCTTTCATTCTTTCAAACATCATATCCAAAATTCGGTTGATATCCAAATCTTTCATAACATTTAAAAGACAGGTGTGTTTCTTTCTCTGACCAGAAATGTCTTTTGGGCATTTATTTCTACACCAGCCTTGCAAACTGTTGGCAAGGTGGTTTGTTAGCATGTACCAACGCACACAGCTGATTGTGAACAGGCAAGAGGCCATGTGTCGCAAATTGTGGTAAAAACCTCAGGTGTGGCACATATTCTGAATGCGCTGTATGCTTGTCCAAATTGCTCCTAAAATTTGACTAATATCAGCATATCCAACATGTCTTAATCAGGAACTGCTTCATGCAGAGACAGGCCTGGAATATTCAAACAGAATATACTGTATTTGTGATGCACATGAAATTCAGGATATTGTCATATTCTGAATAATACTGGAATATTAGTGTGCATGTAAATGCAGCCATTGTTTTACGGTTATGATTTTGCAGAACTGTATTTCATATTGGTATACATCCCAGCTGCTGAGCCACAAATATACATTGGCTACATGGTCATTATTTGTCACACTTTCTATGGTTCTGCTCCCTTTTTACATTTTAGTATGAAATATTTTGTATTTTCATTAGCCTTCTGTGGATAAATCAAGCTGAATTTTGTATCAACAGACTCTCTGGCTGTGGACTCAAAACTGAAGATGTTTGTGATGTCGTGGCTTCAGCCCTGAGCTCCAATCCCTCCCATCTGAGAGAGCTGGACCTGAGTAACAATGAGCTTCAGGATTCAGGAGTGAAGCTGCTGTCCGCTGGACTCCAGAGTGTGAACTGTAAATTGAGTAACTTAAGGTCAGACACTCTTAAATGTGTTCTTTATTTGTGTTTAACATTGTATAAAAATGTTAAATGAGAGACCTCTCTTTACACTTAGATTAAAGCAATGCAAGTTGTCAGGAGAGAGCTGTAAAACGCTGGCATCAACTCTCAGCTCCAGTTCCTCTAGTGTTAGAGAGCTGGATCTGAGCAACAACGAGCTGAGGGATTCAGGAGTGGAGTGGTTGTCTGCTCTGCTGGAGAGGTCAGATCCTTCACTGGAGGCTCTGAGGTAAATACTTTTTCTTGAAATGTAGCTTTTTTTTTTAATCTTCTCAAGTGTACAGAAAACACATTAAAACTAAGTACTTGTTTTTTCAGACTCAATCAGTGTGGAGTCACAGAGAAGTCTTGTGAGTCACTTGCATCAGCTTTCAGTTCTGACATGTCCCTGAAAGAGCTGGACCTGAGCAACAACGACCTAAGGAGCTCTGGAGCGACACTCCTGTCTGCTGGACTGCAGAGTCCAAAATGTAAACTAGAGACTCTGAGGTAAGTTTGGCATCACCTTTAAATGTTCCTCTGGTGTTCACTTTGCAACAAAAGAATCACTACTGGCCATCCCATCAGGCAAGAGAGAAGTGCAAGGAGAAGTTCACTCTAGCCACTTAACTGATCTGTTAAAGTGGAACCTTTGTTCCTGTCTATGTAAGGAGGAAATGTTAGTGTAAAATGTTTGAAGGTGCAAAATCTGGTGGCAACACAAGAGGTCAGTGAGAGCATACATACAAAACTTAGGATACAAACATGTAGGAGCAATGACATAAATTATGTGAGTGGATCATGTAATGTAAGTATCATATTTGATGTGTTGGGCTAGCGACCAATAAGTAGCTGCATGTAGCCACATGCTAACAGAAACACGCAATGTTGTTTGCTGATGTTGGTAATTTGTCCCACGTTTTAGATAATGTTTCCGGCTGGAACATGTTGGGTTGTGAAGATCTTGGTTTACAAGTTTTTCTAAGAGATTTTTACTTTTTCCACTTTGCAATCAGAGACGGTTTTTATGGGAGGGGAGTTTAAAGGGCCAGGTGCTATAATGGAGTGTTTCAGACAGAGGGTGAAAACAGGTATATTAAGGCGGACAGTGTAAGAAAAAAAGTGTTTTTTGAACAATGAGGCATGCACACGTGCTCTAGTAGAAACCTAAAATACAATGTATGAACCTGAGTATAATATGTCTCCTTTAACTCCATTCAGGCTGTCAGGCTGTCTGATCACAGAGGATGGCTGTGTTTCTCTGGCCTCAGCTCTGAACTCCAACCCCTCGCATCTAAGAGAGCTGGACCTGAGCTATAATCATCCAGAAGACTCAGGAGTGACACTGCTATCTGCTGGGCACAAGGATCCACACTGGACACTGGATACTCTCAGGTAAGTTGCACTTAAAAGAGTTACAAAGTGGGCAAATCTGGTTCCAGAATGAGCTCTAATAATCATTGGTTATGATTAGCGCTTCCTAATGCTGTGTTCACATTATGAGTGACAACACAACAGCGTGACCAGCTACGTCATCGCTGAGTCGTTGTTGAAGTACACTGCCTGGCCAAAAAAAAAGTCGCCACCTGGATTTAACTAAGCAAATAGGTACGAGCCTCCTATTGGATAATTACTGCATGGGCGATTATCTTTCAGCTGGCAACAAGTTATTTAACCCCAACTGGTGCAATGAGTTGCTTCTCATTTCCTAAACAACCATGTCGAAAGACACATCCCGTGGTCGTGGAAAAGATGTTAGTCTGTTTGAGAAGGGTCAAATCATTGGCATGCATCAAGCAGAGAAAACATCTAAGGAGATTGCAGAAACTACTAAAATTGGGTTAAGAACTGTCCAACGCATTATTAAAAACTGGAAGGATAGTGGGGACCTATCGTCTTCGAAGAAGAAATGTGGCCGGAAAAAAATCCTCAATGATCGTGATCGGCGATCACTTAAACGTTTGGTGAGATCAAATCGAAGAAAAACAACAGTAGAACTCAGGGCTATGTTTAATAGTGAAAGTAAGAGCATTTCCACACGCACAATGCGAAGGGAACTCAAGGGATTGGGACTGAACAGCTGTGTAGCCTTAAGAAAACCACTAATCAGTGAGGCTAACTGGAAAAAAAGGCTTCAATTTGCTAGGGAGCATAAAGATTGGACTCTGGAGCAATGGAAGAAGGTCATGTGGTCTGATGAGTCCAGATTACCCTGTTCCAGAGTGATGGGCGCATCAGGGTAAGAAGAGAGGCAGATGAAGTGATGCACCCATCATGCCTAGTGCCTACTGTACAAGCCTGTGGGGGCAGTGTTATGATCTGGGGTTGCTGCAGTTGGTCAGGTCTAGGTTCAGCAACAGTATGTGCTCAAAGAATGAGGTCAGCTGACTACCTGAATATACTGAATGACCAGGTTATTCCATCAATGGATTTTTTCTTCCCTGATGGCACGGGCATATTCCAAGATGACAATGCCAGGATTCATCGGGCTCAAATTGTGAAAGACTGGTTCAGGGAGCATGAGACATCATTTTCACACATGGATTGGCCACCACAGAGTCCAGACCTTAACCCCATTGAGAATCTTTGGGATGTGCTGGAGAAGGCTTTGCGCAGCGGTCAGACTCTACCATCATCAATGCAAGATCTTGGTGAAAAATTAATGCAACACTGGATGGAAATAAATCTTGTGACATTGCAGAAGCTTATCGAAACAATGCCACAGCGAATGCGTGCCGTAATCAAAGCTAAAGGCGGTCCAACGAAATATTAGAGTGTATGACCTTTTTTTTTGGTGGTGACTTTTTTTTTGGCCAGGCAGTGTATTTGCTCAAGTGCTCGTTGATATAGTTACGTCGCCACAGGCTTGTATTTGTCTGCTACTTGCCACAAAGTATCTCGAGTGAACATGTTCTTGAGTTTGTACTTGGTTAAAAATAGATATTTTATCAATGTATAAGCATTGCATTTTCCCACCCCATTTCATCCCGTGTGCACCACAATGCACAGACAGCTAGCATAGCATCAGCTAACTAAGCTAAATAACACAGCTAAACCAAAATATCTGATTGGTTGACGCCTCACTGAAGCATCATTGGAGCGCTGAAAACAGGTGAAGCCAGCTCAGCTTTGATTTGTAGCACGTCATGCCCGTCCACAGCAACAAGTATCGGGTGTCATTTTGTAGCCTCAAGTCAGGGGCACCATCAGGAATTTTGGGCCCCATGAAAAAAAATCACATTGGCCCCCACCCTGCGCAGCTGTTGTCACCACATCTCTAGGACCTAACTGAACCATTAAAAGCTTTACTTAACTTTAACTTTGAAGGCTTGCAACTGTCTTGCTTCTTGTAGTTCAATGCTACCAGTACAATATTTACTGCTAGTGAGTTGTACATGCAACAGTCTGCATACAGTATGCAATTCACTATTTGATGCAAGATTAAAAGCCACCATAAAACATGTGCTAAATGCTTTTAAGCACCTTTTACAGTTTTTACAGTTCAAATGTATCTTTTACAGTTTAAATGTAATTTTTATTGTAAAATCCCAAAATGGAAAATTCTCTTAACATTAATGAAAGACTTAAAAAAAACTTAAATATACATTAACTTTTCAATCAAAATAAATTAAGATCATCATCTCAAAATAATGAAAACAGCAGATTTTTTGACTTAGCTGCACATATATGCCAACAAGAAAATAAAGTTGAAATGGAAAATTATATTAAAAGGCCTCATGGAGGTGCTGAGTTAGGCTACTTAATGTTTCCAACTGTCCAGCATCCAGTACAGACAGTTGTAGGCTATTTTTGTTTCATAATAATCATTATATGGAAAAATAATTTGTTTGAATTTCTGTCATTAAAAAATACTTCATTTTCATTTTTGCAATGGTAAAAAAGAGCAAGAGACAGACTCCCTGCAATGATGCTAACTGGCATGTTATTCAGCACAATGTTGCTCACCTTCATTGGGACGGGGAGGGGTAAAGTTGTGAGGAGACAGGGCTGCTGCTTCTGACTTATCTGTTGTTGTGTCTGGTAAAAGGGACAGGGACAACTGATTTAATATGAATATCTTGCTAAACATTTACCTGCACTGATTAATGTAGGTCAAAAAGGAATGAAATGTAGGCTAACACTAGTCTGTAGCTAGCTTATTTCACTATGGACATTAAGCTAACAGGTTAATTTCTACCACTCACAGACTATAAGCTACCCACCTTTCTTGGAGAAAAACTGGGTCACATATTGACACCCTTTCTTTTGCCTCTCCTCTCTCCTTTCTCTCTTTCCTTTTGTGAAAATCAGATTTTCTTATAGTACTAGCCTAGGTTGCATGATGATGACTGTAGCGTTCTAGCGCAACTGCTGACTGCTACTAGGCACAGTCAGTGTGCTAGGGCAGGACCAAACCATTTCATGCTGATACAGGGGGATGGTCAGTCAATATATGTTATTGAACTGCTTTCATAATGACATTGTTGCGGCAACATAATTGCTGCCTGAGTTATGGTTTGTGACTTTTTTTTTCCAGGTAAAGAGACATACATTTATGTACTACTGATGCTTTAGAAGGAAGTGGTTGAGGAAGATGGTGGGCGCACAAAGTACAGCACCTTGATGCCAGAAGCCTAGGCTCACGTCCAGACTCCTGTCTGTGGTTTAGGCAACAAAAGCACTTTGTTTGAAGTTTAGGGAAAGATTGTGATTTCAGTTACATTTTAATGAAACTGAAATGACACAGACTCTTGTCTTGGGTTTAGACAACAAATGCACTTTGGTTAAGTTTAGTTAAATGTTAATTAAAAGGGTAAAAAAAACAAAACAAAACTGAACACTGTATTGCAAGATTGCTAATTACAGTAGAAAATAACTTAAAAATATGTTGTCAGTGAACTTTTTGCTGATGTGTTGGGATAAACATTTTTGTGACTGGCCAGATACACTAATGAGCAGTATTTCCTCATTGTAGTAATAGAAAACATAATTCGCTCAGCATTACTTTCCCTTAAAACATATGTGCTCTTTCAGATTAGTTGTATACAAATGGAATTTCTAGAAGACAGGCCTGAGTGATACTGACGTGTACTGACATAACTGTAAGGTGCAAAGGGCATGACCACCTTTCACACATATGTGCAGAACACACACTTGTGGTGGTTTTGCCTCCCTTTGTAGTCAATATGCATCTTTTCATAGTTTTTTGTTATTTTGTAGTAATTTTGTGTCTCCTTGTGGTTGTTTTGTGTCTCCTTGTGGTCAGTTTGAGTCTTTACCTGGTTAGTATGTATTAATTCAAGTGACATTTTGTAGGTAAAGGCCAGGGGGCCCCTGTCACTTTGGGCCCCTGGGCCTGTACCTGGTCATCCTGTTCAGTAATCCATCCATCGTTAGATTGAATTATAAAAGCATGTCACTTAAGTGTCCTCTCCTAACAATGAGTTTACTTGACTTTCAGACTGTCTGTTGTTTTTTTTCTACAGAGTGGACCATGGAGGTGAACACAGGTTAATCTCTGGGCCGAGGAAATGTGAGTAATGATGTCTGATTAAATTAGTAAATTATCAGTAAAAGTACAGAGGTATTATTAATAAAATTTAGTATCAAAGTATCAGCAGTAAAAGCACACAAGTCTTACAGTGCAGTGCTGGCAATAAATCCATTCCCTCAGACAGAAACCATTCAACATAACATCATCTTCCTTAGTTGTACAGTGGATCAGCGTGCTTTATTATTTGTCTTTTTACACTTTCACATGAGAAAAAGCTTTCAGGGAAAAAAGTGGATGACTTTACCGAAGAAAGAAAGTGATAAACATTTCCCACAATATTATAATCTTTCACTGCGTCTCTACCTGCAGATTTATTCCGGCCCACATTGGACCCAAACACAGCACACAAACACCTGTCTCTGTGTGAACAGAGCGGACAGGTCTCACATACAGAAGAATGGCATCCTTATCCTGATCATCCTGAACGATTTTACTTACAAGATCAGGTGTTGTGTCGAGAGGGTCTGACTGGGTGCTCCTACTTGGAGGTAGATATGGCTGGTGGAGCTTTCATCGGTGTGGCATACAAAGGAATCAACAGAACTGGTTCCTATGAAAGCTGGCTCGGATACAATGACAAGTCATGGTGTGTCAGCTGTTTTGGTCGTAACTACAAGGTATTGCATGACTGGAGAGAGACCAACATACCAATTGCCATCACATCACCTAGAGTAGGAGTGTATCTGGACTGGCCAAGAGGCACTCTGTCTTTCTACAAAGTTACTTCTGAAAGCTTAGTCCACCTGCACACTTTCCACCACAGATTCACAGAGGCGCTCTACCCTGGTTTTTATGTATCGTACAATACATCACTGTCTCTGTGTTAGTCTTCTAAAGACTGCAATTACCACCTTGCAGTTCTATGCCTCTGTGAACCTGTCAAGTCGCAGTTCACATCCATGTCTGTCCAGACTCATATGTCATCATGACAGAAGACAATGCTTCAACTACGGATCTTGTTGCAACAACGCTACATATTCTAAAACATGGATGCTTCACACACATCTTCAACCTGGCAGCACAGTTTTATACACTCAGCACAGTTTCAAGGTGGACACCCAAGATTAGTGTCACCAGTTCAGTATCTGATCAAAAGTCTCCCCTTTTGTTGTTTTTCATAAGATGTGGTGTTGAATAGTGGGCAGAAAACATTATGATGTCACAGTGGAGGTGACCTTTGACCTTTTGGATATAAAATATCAACACTTCATCATTTTGTCTTATTAGACACTTGTATTAAATGTTGTTAGTGCGTAGTGTTCATTTATTCTTGAGTTATGGCCAAAAACATGTTTTGTGAGGTTATAGTGACCTTGACCTTTGACCACTAAATTCTAATAAGTTCATCGTTGAGTCCAAGTGAATGTTTATGCCAAATTTGAAGAAATTCCCTCAAAGCCTTCTTGAGATACAGCGTGAACAAGAATGAGAGAGACATGAGACCACAGTGACTTTGACCTTTGACCCTCAACCGCCAGATTTGAATCAGTTAATTGTTGTGCCCAAGTGGATGTTTGTCCCAAAATTAAAGAACTTCGCTCAGGGTGTTCTTGAGTTATCGCATTGGACGTACAAAAAGATGGACTGATGAATGGACAGATGGACAACCTGAAGATATAATGCCTCTGGCCACAGCTGTTGCAGGCATGGAGTCCTAAAAAGTCAATACAAGTAAATATAAGCTTTGTTTCCACTGAGGGAAATGGTTTCAGCTTTTGAAAACACCCCCATTTTCACAGGTAACTTAGCCTGTCCCCCCGCTGCAGGAAATAATGGATTAATCCTGGAAAGCTGCTGATGTAGCACTTTTCTCCTTATGAAAGTAACACGGTGATTATTCAACTAATGAGAATTTGGTCGGACGAGAGCATAGCGACCAAATATAGACTAGTCGACCAGGAGACTACAGCCCTACAAATTTGGCATGGATGTGGAAGAGTCTGGTTAATAATTCCACTAACACAAACGAAATGAGCAGATGACAATGCTGCACGTAAAACAACTGTGTAGTTTCCACAGCTCCGCTCCCTCCGCCCCTCTCCTTCTCCGGATACACACAGGTGACGGTCAGTCAGAGACTTTTCACGTTTAAATTGTGCGATTAATGGAGGTTCTTTAACTATTTCGCTACCAAGTGGGCGAAATATGGAAAGAATACAATAAAGATTTGTAGAAAAAGAGAGGATTAAAAGATTTGACTTCAAGAGGGGGATGATTCAAAGGCAGTGTGCAGATTCAGATTCTGTGTGAAATATGTACTCATCATTCAGATCTTGTTCAGCATACCAGCAGTGTTACAGTGAAAGTAAAATGGCTCATTATATGCAACTTCTTTACTTTCATTTTCATTCATTCATTAATTTTTTCCACGTTTTGGGTTGGCTAGTTGGTTTGGAAGAATTCAAGGGCAATAAATATCATGTATTTGTAAAGTAATTTTGAAACGGTTGCTTATGAAACGCTGATAAGTCCATGCATATACTGCATGCTATATATTTATATAGACAGATTAACTAATACAGTTGCCTCTAGCTATAGGTTGTCATTTTCCTGCCAAACAATGCAAACATTCCATAAACATTCCGCATTTTCTATCACTTCCAGAGTGAGCAAGTACCTTGTTGCTGGTATAAAAACAGAAATTGTGGAAAGAGGTATGTTGAACTGCACTCTGTCTTGGTAGTTTTGCTGAAAAAGTCAACTTTGTTCATTTGCAGAATGAGGGAAATTTAGTGTAAATATTGAGATTTAGTGTTAATATTCAGAATTTCTTTTATTTATTTTTTTTATCATACAGTCCAGATGTAAAAACTATTATCCAACACTTAAGGGCACTTGCCCCAGGATATTTATTTTTTATATTAAGATTTGGACCTCTAGCAAGATGGTCATGATGGTTCAATGGATATGTTCTGTTTTGGACACAATATTCTTCCAAATTAGCGTTAGTGTATTTTAATATTCAGAATTTTGCTTCGACAAGCTCTCTTTTTTGACCATACACCTGTTTGCATCTCATAACGTTGCGACTATTCATTCCCATTCCGAATTCCCCAGATCCACTTTGTGTGAACAAATCCAACACCATCAAGTTGCAGGAGAGAACCATGGAGAACTAATGTTAGATTACGGAGTATGATTTGGAAAAATTGATACCAAAGACAATTTTGTTCATTCACAAAAACTTTGTGGTGGTCAACGAAGAAATTAATTGCAGTATGCAAAACATGCAGGCTAAAAGTTACAGACTTACAGAGACACAACAGCTTCCAAAAAAAAATATTTTAAGAAAAACAAATTCTAAAAAGCATTCAAGATTTTGGTAAATTTAATATATTATTTTGTTGGCATAAATGGCATCTCATTTGCTGAGGAGCACATTATATGACTTGTTTAGGACTGAAAACTGAAAGTTTAGGACTTGGGAATTGACTTGAGTGGAAAGTCATGAGGCTTACTCATGACATGCAAAACAATGACTTGGCTCCACATCTGTCAATTAAGTCTTCAGAACTATTAAGACCACATAAAATTCATTGGCTACAGTCAGTTAAAGCCAGGTGTGTACTATTGCCAGTCCACAGGATTACAGCTCCTCACATCGCAAAAACAACCATATCAGAAAGAAACATTAGATGCAGTGATGAGTTGACACGGTTGTATGAAGCTTTGGGTCTTTCTTTCTATTTGTGGTCCCTGGAAAGTGGGAATTTTGAGGATATCCACATATTAAAACCTGCATAAAGAGTTTGAGGTTTATTGCTAAGGAGAACAAATTGTTATGTTCAGTTTTATTTAAAATGATGGCAAACACTTTGTATGGTCACTGTGATGATTCAGGAAAATTTTGAAAAGAAATCTAAATTCAAACAGTGAAGAGGATATATTGAAACACAGTAGCTGACACTGCTGGGTCAGTCAAAGAGACAGTAGACAAATTTACACATTACAGAATTATATAAAGGTAATTCTACCCACCAGTTACACTTCAGAGAGCAGATACATTTCTTCATTTAATGTGGGATTGTTCTTTGGTTTCTCCTTTCTGGAAACAAGTAAGAAACAAGTCTCACCACCTGATCAAACTAGCACTTGGCTTATATTGGAGGGCTTTACCGTGCTACAAGAATTGTTCTCCACCATTGCAAGAGTCAGACAAAGCCTCATTCTGATGAATAGTTAATATTAATGATGGACATAACTTCTTCTCTAATCACAGGAACTAATAATTACCAAGGTGAGTTTTTTGATGCCAGGTCCCAGTTTTTTTATGTATAAAGACAGAAGCATGGCATGATGAAAATACTGCTGCTATGTTATATTTATGTTGTGTTCTTTTATTTTCCTTTTTTTTTTACCTAGGTTAACTACTGTATGTACCCAGATTTGTTTTGTTTTGATCTATATTTGTTATTCAAAAAGTTATTATCACATCTTTGATGAAGGCTATTTGTTCAGAGGGGCTGAATGAAATGATGTCATTGTGCAACATATTACAGTAACATATAAATAAATCCATTGTACAAAAAAGTCTACGTGCAAAATACTTTTCTGCCTTAATACCTGGACCCAGAGGTGTTAGCCAACTATAGACCAATATCTAATCTTCCCTTTATGTCAAAGATCCTTGAGAAAGTAGTCGCAGACCAGCTGTGTGATTTTCTCCATGATAATAATTTATTTGAGGGATTTCAGTCAGGATTTAGCACTGAGACAGCACTAGTTAAAATTACAAATGACCTTCTGATTGCTTCAGACAAAGGACTCGTCTCTGTACTTGTTTTATTAGATCTTAGTGCGGCGTTTGACACAATTGACCATCAAATTCTACTGCAGAGACTGGAACACTTAGTTGGCCTAAAAGGTTCTGCACTAAGCTGGTTTAAATCTTATTTATCTGATCGTTTTCAGTTTGTTGATGTTCATAATGAATCATTCTTACGTACCAAAGCTTGTTTTAGAGTTCCGCAAGGTTCTGTGCTCGGACCATTCCTATTTACTCTATATATGCTTCCTTTAGGTAACATCATTAGAAATCACTCTATAAATTTCCATTGTTATGCGGATGATACTCAGTTGTGTTTATCGATGAAGCCAGAAGAAAGTAATCAATTAACTAAACTCCATAACTGCCTTAAAGACATAAAAACTTGGATGAGCACCAATTTCCTGATGTTAAATTCAGACAAAACTGAAGTTATTGTTCTTGGCCCCAAACAACTCAGAGACTCTTTATCTGATGACATAGTTTCTCTAGATGGCATTGCTCTGGCTTCTAGCACTACCGTAAGAAACCTCGGAGTAATATTTGATCAAGATTTGTCTTTTAATTCTCATTTAAAACAAACCTCAC